ATGATACAATACTTTCAACATCTTTACTTTAAATGTAGCCGAGAAGAAATTCCAAGACGGATATTGTCAGATATATAATTTTTGTTTTCGATATATAAACTTGTTAGTGGTACAAGTTACACTTACACTTTTACTGTTATTGAGAGTTAATGTGTTATTTAATTTATTGGGTTACACTACAGTGTTTGGAAATTAGATAAATTGATACAATGTAGAAAGCTTTAAGTTTAGGAGAAGATTGCTTCATAACTATTAGAGGATGAAAATATAGGCTAGAACCAGAAATTAAAAAAGCATTATAGGATTTTGATAAATTTGGGGATAGTAAAGGTTGCTTTGAAGAATAAGAGTATAGATCACATTATTTGTATTGTTACGACAGCGGTAGTCACGTGACTCTGGTAACACGTCATGATATTCTCGAAGGATCGGGGAACATCATGAATAATCCAGTATTTGCTAGGCGGCCTCTATTCTAGGTGCCAGTTAAAGCAAAATTAATTATTTGGAATTGAATTGCAGACAAGCAGAGATAGAGATGGACAATTGAGTCAAGCGCGGTAGTGACCGTAAGTAAGTGTGTGAATCATTGTGAATTATAGCGTGTGTTTAAACTGACTGTAGAAATTAAGTGTATTGCAAAGTTGTATCCAGGGAAAAATAAACTAGTTTTATTTCAGAAAGGACCTGTATCGCTAAAGTTTCCTCAGAAAGAATTTTTACAGAAAATTAACAAACGACTAGAGATGTAACAAATTGGTGTCAGAAGTGGGATTAAAAAAAAAAGATGAAACCAGAAGTGCCAAATTAAACTACAGCTTAGCAGACTTGATGGCAGCAATACAAGAACAGCAAAAGAAACAAGAAGAACGAGAAAATAAACAAGAAAAGAAACGGGAAGAAAGATTACAGCAGTTGTTGGAGGAAAAAGAAAAGAAACAAGAAGAGAGATTACAGCAGTTGTTGGAGGAAAAAGAAAAGAAAAAAGAAGAGAGATTACAGCAGTTATTGGAGGAAAAAGAAAAGAAACAAGAACAACGAGAAAAGAAACAAGAAGAGAGACAACAGCAGTGGCAGCTCGAATAGCAAAATAAACAAGATATTACAGCAGTTGTTGGAGGAAAAAGAAAAGAAACAAGAAGAGAGAATTCAGCAGTGGTTGAAGGAGAAAGAAAATAAACAAGAAGAAAGTCTCCAACAGTTAAGAGAAAGCCAGAGTACACAAATGGAAAACATTACTAAATTTCAAAGTGAATTAAATGCATTAAAGAATGTTCTACTGTCTTTTACACAAGGAGGATATATTAGACATCGACCTAATCAGCTTCAGACAACGAGAAGCCCCTTCCAGACCCTGCAGCTAAACCCTAATGCAGACATCTTCAGTCCTGCTAGAAGTCACATTCCAGACACGAGCATTAGCAATAGGGGTGATCTAGTACGCAGGAAGCCACAGGAATTCGATGGGAAGGCACCCTGGGAAGCATATAGAGCACAATTTGAGCTCCTGGCAGAAATGAATGGATGGACAGAGGAGCAGAAAGCAGTATATCTGTCAACGAGCTTGAAGGGACAATCACTGGAAATACTTGGACAGTTGTCAGCAGACGACAGGCACAACTATAGAGCACTCGTAGCTGCTCTACAACTCGGGTATGAAACCCAAAATCAGTTCAAAATCTACAGGGCTAGGTTTAGGACTAGAGTCTGTGCTAATGGGGAGAGCCTGCAAGAGCTGGCACAAGACTTGGAAAGTATGGCACACAAGGCCTACCCAACTGCACCGCCCGATCTCCTCAAGTTGCTGCTGAGGGATCAGTTCGTAGATGCCTTGGACAGTCTACAACTGAAGATACAAGTAAAGCAAGCACACCCCTCTACTACGCAGGATGCAATGGCCAGAGCTCTTGAATTCAAATCCTATGTTAAGTCCAGCACAGAGGTACCAAGGTTGGTACATTCATCAGGATTCAAGGCCAGAAAAGGGAAGCTTTCAGAGAAATTTCAGGGACTTTGCTGGCACTGTAACAAACCTGGGCACAAGAAAGCTCAATGCTGGAAACTTCAACACAGGGAAGATGCCATGGCAGGAAAGGCTGCTACCCAGAAAGGTTGTTGGAACTGTGGAGAGCAAGGAAATATGAGGAGCCAGTGTAAGAAGAATATTACCAATAAATCGGCTTCAAGGAAACCAGTAGTGGTTCGTGTTGATTGACGCCTATCAACCCCAATCGTGAAAGTCCCAACAGCTAGGTGTAAAATGCCAAGAACACATAGTGTCTACGTGACAGGGAAGCTGAATGGCCAAAGGTGCAACTTTGTCATAGATTCTGCATCTCAACAAACCCTTGTGAGCATCGAAGGAGTACCAGAAGCCATACAGAAGCTTTGTGGTGTGACAGGACATTCTGCAAGGTTGTGGGGACCAGTATGGGTAACTATTGAGCTCATGGGCATAAAGGACAGACACAAAGTATACTTGGCTGACATTGAAGACTGAAGACCCATGCATATTAGGGTTGGACTACTTACTACCAAGGAATTGTGTAATTAACTTTGATAAAATGACGTTTGGGAACAACAAAGGCCAAATTCCAGTAAGTGTTAAAAGAGAGGTTGAACTAACCAGGTGTCATCAAGCTGAAGTCAAAGTGACTGAAGGAGTTGATGATGGTGAAGTGGAACCAGGTATAGATATTAAGGCAGAGCAGGAGAAAGATCAATTGGGGAAGAGTGATATTTGCATAATTAGGTTTTATGTATTGTTCAGTGCTGGATTAAGTTTGGGGAGGCCCTATGCAAAATGGTTGTGGGGGGCACTTATTTGGGCATATTTTACTAATCAAATTTTATTGAAATGAATGGAAGTTTTTACAAAATTATGTTTAACAAATTTAGGAAACTTATTTTGATTTTATGTATGTAACATGAAATCAAGTATGCTGAAAAAATATCATTGGTACATAACATATCTTAGCAAACGATTGGGACATGTCGAAATGTATGGTTATGGTTTTATCTTATTTTCATATAATAACAATATTTTAAATAAAAGTGATTAAATAGTCACAAACTTTAATCCATAAATACATTTTTTCATAATTAATGACATACTTTTCCATTATAAGCTAATGCAGAATATTTCATATGCCATTGCTTTCTGTGCTTCCTAATATGACCAGAAGATGGCACTGAATATTGATTTTTCTTTCACATAGATTTTAGGATGTTTTGCTTTCTATCTAAGTCACTGACAGATGCTGATTGGCTGTAAGGGACATCAAAAAGATATAAAATAATATAAGAATTATGTTTGTGAATGGTAATGTTTTAATTATTAATATATTTGAATGCCTAGCATTTTTAATAAAATCATAAAAAAAAAATTGAACATATAATTATGTAGGATCCCTAAAATGGGGGAGGGGGGGGTACCTACACGATAGCATAGTTTGTATATGCCCTTAATCTGGCACTGATATTGTTACACATTGATATAAAAAGAAATGAAATTTTAGCTTCTATGTTTCATAAAGAAAATATATATATGATAAAAAAATATATATTATTAGTAAATTAGGATAATGAGCAAAAAAAATGATGTGGGATGGATTTGGGAAATTGGTAAAATAAACTGCTTTTAATTCAAGATAGGTTAAAAAGAGGAAAAGGATATCAGGGAAAAATCAAATCTTAATTAGCTTACTAAAGGAGGAAAGCAAGGATAAATTACATAAGTTTAAGGAGTTTAAACTGATAGATAGGATGGAAGATCTTTAAAACAACAGGAAAGCTAACAATTGGTGAACTTACACCTCTCATTTCTAGGGAGGAAAGTGTCCCCAATTTGAAAAAATTGCCCTGAAAATACCCTTTCATTTCATATGTTATATTTATTATGAAGTATATGGCAGGAGTACATTAGAAATAAATATTCAGCCAATTTTTATTATTACCTTAGGTATAGCATTGTTATGTGAAAGCACTGGTGAAGTTGCCATATGTCTTAAGTTGAATGTGTAGTAGAATATTTTCCTGTTCTCTTTTAGAACAGTAAAATCCTAAAACAGATACACACATTAGATGAATTCAACTGAAACTAATACAGCAAGTTTCTCCAGTACTACCTGCATCTGAAATTGAGTGAATTCAGGTACAGTGTTTTATGTTTTGATTTACAAAATATGGTCACCTTAGGCTAGGGCTTTAGTTGAAAAAGAAAACAAGAAATCCACAAGAGGTTATGAGAAACAACTGGCTGATAATGTTAAAATTAACAACAAGGATTTTTTAAACAATGTTAAAGGGAATCAAAATGTTAGAATGGGAATTGGACCTATAAAAGATGCTGATGCCAAGGGTTTTGCTTAAGGTATGAGATAGCTGAGCTTTTAAATGTTTTCTTCCCCCTTTTGGTTTTATAAGAGAAGGTATTAACAATATTCATGGCTTCGAGCATTCTGTAGGAAATATTAGAATTGGCTTGAATTGTAGATATTACTTCCATGGTGGTAAATATGAAGACTGAGAGATTAGAATAGATAAAGAACCAGGAACATAAGTTTTTTCCATAACTTGTAAGGAGGTCAAAGATCAGATATGTGAGACTATCTCTTTCATTGTTGATAGTAGCATAGTAGTGGATAAGTCACACAAGCCATCAAAGCAGTGCTCTGTTCCTAATAATAAAGCTAATAGAATTTTAGGATGCACTTATTGAAATTGGGTACAAGTCACAAACCACTATAGAACTTATTTAGAACATTGTATTCACTTGTGATCTCATTTAAGAAAGGATATTGCTTATTGGAAAGGGTTCAGAGGAGGCCTATTAGAATAGTTTGTGGAATGGAAATGTTGGCATATGGGGATTAGTTAAGGTCTTTTAACTTATTTTTTGTTTAGAAAAAGAAACTTTAAAAATGTTGGAGATTACAAATTAAATACAAGATTATATGGAGAATTCTAGGAATAAAACCTTGATTTCTTTGTATTGTATTCTGAAGATGAAAGAAAAAAAGGATCCAAGTTTAAGACTTGGGATAGACTAGGCTCTTGTTAAAACAGTCTTATTTTCCTAACAGGGTGATAGGCTTATAGAGTAAGTTGCTCTAACCATTAGTGGAGGCTGGCACCTTAGAAAAGCTTAAGCTTTCCTGAAAAATAAAGGGTGGATTTGATTTTTATTTTCTATTAGAAATGGGTGTGCAGGGGACCATGTGTGTCTTGAAGGACCAAATGGTTCTTTGTTATTTGTGTTTTATCAAATCTAATCTAGTTTATTCTTTACTTTACAAATGATTATCAATACTGGCTCAGATGACATGACTTATTTATAGGTGGAATAAGTGTTGTATTTGAATCAGATGGCAAGTTAGTTACATAGCAACACTGGAGGAAAGTCAGCAAATGTTTTTCAGGTGAATAATATCATTCATGTAACAAATTTGGATGTGCGTATATTTGAATTTGCTTAATATTATCCAGCACTGCTATATCATGGAAGATGTGAACCAAAGTTTGACACCCATTCTTGGGTTTCATAACTGTATTTATTTAATAATATTAAATGACCAGGAGTTGAAAATTTCCAAAATTAAGCCCTTATTAAAACTTATTTGAGGTAGTTAAAAAAGAAAAGAAAATACTCCCCTGTAGGCAACCAGTTTGATGGCCTACAGATTCTTGAGAAACAGTGATATTTTCACACAACATAGTGGATTTTACTTGGCTACTGATAACTTCTCACCTTGTTAATGCTACTTTATTTTCAGTTTGCAAGCATTTTTCTTAAAAATATGGTGCTTGTGCTTATGTTTATTTTTCACAGCAAATGATGAATATTATCTTTCTGTATTTTTGTAGATGAGAAGCAGAGACATTGATGTTTTGATTGAAATTTTTAGCTTTGGGGTTCCATCCCATGGTAAAAAGTTTGTGTAAAGGTAACTGCTTACATGTTTTAAAAAAGGCATTTTATGTACCATTTAGGGAATCATTCCCACTAAAATGACTTGTAACACAAGTTTATAACAAGTAATTTTGAATGAAAGGGTGTAAAACTTGGGAAGTTGCATACAAACTATATTCCAAAACATACTTGCCTCCTCTCACTACAGCTATTACTCAGCTGCCAGGGTTTCTTCCTTTGCCCACCAAAGCATTGGTCTGATTTTTTCTTGCTTGTTCCAGTCTTTTATGCTCCACTTAATTGCCCTTGGCAATATTTGTCTTATGACACGCTTCACCTACATCAATGCACCCTCTATCCTGGTATGGTATATATAAGCACCTCATTCAGATAATGTTATCAGTTTTTCAAGACAAAGCGTTCATTAATGGGTTTCTCTGTACTATGATGATTGGAGATACTTGGAACATTTTTTGAGTTACCTAGTTGATTTTCATCAAAAAAAATTTTTTTCTTTGTTTAGCAAGCCTATATACGCCATGAAGACCTGGTATGGAAGCAAATCAGATCTGTCCTTACCCACCTCTGATATCTAGCATCACTCAACAATTGGTGGGGGTTACTCTCAGTTGAGACTGTCAATGATCTTATTTGTTGTGAGATGGAGACATATATTTGGTTCAGTGGTGTTCCTCCAGGAGGATCTGAGACTGTAATTGAGGGTGATCCTGGATCTTCTGGAGAGAATTTATACTCTCTTTTTCCTACACTTTCCTTTATTCTGTTGGCTTCCCAGGAGGCTTCTTTGGGATAAGCTGCTTCAGGCTCCTTTTCTTCAGTTGGTCCATCAGATGTGTGATCTTTTGGGTATTTTCCAAGTTGCTTTTGAGTCTGCACCTTACTTGATGGCCATAAGGTCTGGAATCAAATACTTAGTTTTGCTCTCCATCCACTGACATTGTGGTTCATGCAAGGAGGTTTACTTTATGTAAAGGGACAGCTATGCCTTGTCTGTCACAGTGGTCATAACAACGTGATTTAGCTTACTACTGCCAGGTGGAAGCATATTCCGACTCTCAAAGAATACATCTGCTCCAGGGAATTTGGGGTTCTAGAGCAGAGTCTGTAGTTAACCTGAATAGATCATAACTTTCTAGGATTCATCTCACCATAAATATGGTGCCAAGTTATTTATTATCCCTCTAAACTTTGTTGGAAGACTCTCAGGATCACACATACATTAATGATGAGTTGGGACCATTGTTAGCATGCACATTAGTTTGATTGTCAGCTTCTACGTTCATCCCTGTTGTCGTTTGCGTCTCAACTTTCCTAGGCTCCTACAGGGGGTCATAGTTCTGCCCCTATTTGAAGGTCTCGACCCTTGACATCAGCCCCTTGGTTCATTAGTATCTAGAATAGATTCTATCCATATCCAAGGGTTCTGCTGCTCGGTCAGAATGCTGCTAGTGGCATCAGTGACTATTGTGTACCTTTGGGGTGTGTGGGGGCTTGGCTCCAATAATTCCTGGATGTGTGGTAAACTTTATCCATGGATTCATGGACTCTACAAGTCCTTGAGTCAGGATTATTCATTCAGTTCACATCTTCACCACCATTATCCATCCAACCTGTAGTGTTGCTACCTCCTGCAGATCCTCAGACTTCAGAAATTCATTCTAGGGTTATCAGAGTTTTGTTCATCTGGGGGCAGGGAGAGAGTCATGCCAGTTCATCTGGGGTTTTTATTCCTGTCAATTTCTTGGGCCCAAGAAGACAGGAGACTGGCATCCAGTCATATATCTTTCTCATCTATATCAATTCCTAGCTTCTACAAAGTTAACAAGTTACTCATTCCTCACTCTGAGTTGGCATTTTTTACAAGGATTGTGGATGTCCAAGTTTGATGTTGTCTGTTTTTATCTGCACATTGATGTAGTGGTTGCATTCTGCTGCTATCGGTGTTTTTGTGCATAAAAGTCAGGTACTGCAGTTCAGGGTTCTTATCTTCAGACTAGCATCTGCACTATATGGGTTCTGCCAAATTGTACAACTTTTTTCTCATAAACTCTATTCCCTAGCTCTGTACATGCACAATTCCATGGATGACTGGATACTGCTGGCACCATCTTGTCAATTGTCAGAACATCACACCTGGATTCTACTTTCAGAAACAACCAAGGCAGGCTTCATTATCAGAGCTGATATATCTGTTCTTGCTCCAACACAATATGTCATCAGTATGGGTATTTTTTTCATCACGTATCTCAGTCAGGCTCAGCCGTCTCCCATCTGGCTATGTGCTATGGAACAGGAAGTCTGACTCTTACCTCTCCTTCTCCCGCTGCATGAATAGTTCTTTCTCTTTTGGGAATGTGGGCATCACTCAAATCCCTCATGCCTTTGGGATGAGCACACAAAAGATCCCTTCAGTGGTCTTTATGCAACCACTGGATCATGAACAATGATTCATTGGATTTCCCAGTTTCCTTATTCAGGATCATTCTCTTCAATCTCAAGGGGTGGTTAGATTGAAACAATATTAAGATATGGGTTCCTATGCTGCCACCTCATTCAGAGATCCATCTCTTTCTGAATGCTTTGCTTCAGGGATACTGTACATATATCAATGATCAGGAATTCCAGGGTCTATGCACAGACAACGATGGGTTCCCTACACAATGTTTTAGACCTTCTTGCTCTTCAAAAGACAATGTCTCATGGTTTGGGCATATTAAAAGCAAAATTGTCATGCTTCATTTCAACAATTCCATGGTGATGACTTGCATTTCCTGTAAAGGGGACACTTGGTCCAGGGCTCTTTGTTTTCGAACCTTGGATCTCCTTTCTTGGGTCTACTCCTATCATATCACCCTACTAACTTGCAATATTCCATGGGTGATGACTTTGGTGGTAGATCAATTGTCTCGACCCTAACAGATTCTTGAGACAGAATAGATGCTGTATCGTGAGGTTTTTCAGTTGGATTTGCTCTAATTTTAAAACACTGATGATTGGTGGGTTGGCCACTCATTGGAACACCCAGCCACTGGCAATTTGGTCTCCAGTACCTCACCCTTTGGCTTGGGCAGTATGTGCATTCAGTCAGGACAAGACGAGATTACAACTCTAGGCCTTCCCTCCAATTTATACATTAACCAAGGTATTAGCTATGATTTGTACAAACCCATAGTTTGGTCCTGTTAATAGCACCTGATTGGCAGCTAGTTTATGCTTCTGCAGTACCTTCAGGAGTGCCCACCTTTTCCACTTCTTCTTTGGTCCTCTCTGTGGAGGCAACCATGATCTGACATCATACACTTGGCTATCCAGAAGCTCAAACTTCAGGCATGGAGATTTTGCAGTCCTTTGCATGGCATCAGGGTTTAATTTCTAAGGTTGCCATGTATCTGTCTCAGTCTTTGCTTAGTCTCATGATGGGCATTTATCACTGGAAATGGCACACGTATTGGCAATGGTGTATTTTGATCAGAAGTGCCAACCATAACTCTTTTTTTTACCTGGCTTTTTGGCAAGGGTTTTGCATCTTCCACAATTCGCTCTGTATAAGGTGGCCTTATCGACTACTGTTTGATACTCGAGACAAAAATCCTTTGAGTCCCCAGTACTTTTCAGCTTCCTCAAGTTATTTTGGGTCCTTTCTCCAAAACAACCATTCCAGTTACCGAACTGGTTTATTAAGGTTACATTGCATGCCCTTCCTCAACACTCGTTCGTGACCTTAGCCTCATGTGCCATATATCACACTTCTCTGAAGGTTTATTTTTTGTTGCTGCTGAATTACAGACATTGCTGGTCAGAGTGGTTTATGCTGATTGTGCACATAATGCTTTATTATTCTACATTCATCCTCAGACCAGTTCTTCTTCCCTAAGACATGTCAGGGAAAGGGATAAATCCTTTACACAGATTCTTCTGATCACTATTTCTCCCTTATATAACTGATCAGATTTTAATCATTAGTTATGTCCAGTAAGGGTCTTGTTGCCTACACTAATGCCTTTAGTGATGCTAGACAATGATTTTTTAGTTATTGGGATCATTCAGTTTCCAAGGATTTACCCCCAGTTACATTGATGAGGTGAGTATCAAGGTGATTTATATTGCTTATTCTGCATTTTCTTTGAAGGCAAGGAATCTTCTGCGATTCATGTCAAATCAGATTTGTCACATTTCTATGTCCTTAGTGGCTCCGTTGAATTGTCTGCTGGAGAACATTGGTGAGTGGGACATGGATCTCCCCCAATACTGTTATTTCACATTATTTGAATGATCTGACAGTATCTTCCTCTGAGGGTTTTTGATTACCCCCTGTAGCTATCTTAACTGCTTCTACTAGATTATACAGAGGGGTGAGTATTTTCATTGCTACGCTTGTCTCTACTTTACCTTTCAGGGTTTCTTACCTTGTTTTCACAGGATCACACTCTGTGGCGAGTGTTGCCCAGGCAGGTGTGCTTCTATCAAACCAATTCCACACTAGCAACCACTAATTCAGTATGCTATATCTAGGTTGCAACAGGCTCTGTAGAAATGAGGTGTTCCATAAGACCACCTAGAGGCTGATCAGGTAGTATTACTGTACTATGCTGGATTGCCACTCATGGACTATCATGAGTAAAGCATAAGGGGATCCTGCCAATCCCTGCTGATCATTGGATTGAATAAACTGGGGTTGGTGTGCTTTTAAAAATTTATGGAATGTGGTTTACCTATTGCACTGTTCTTCAGGACTCCCTTATACACATTACCTCCCAAATTCTACTAGTGGAGCTAGGGGGTCTTTACCACACCTGGTTTCCAGTCACATAGATGGTGGACAGAAGCTTTACCTCTGTTGTTGGAGAAGAGGGCAAAGTTTGGGGCCCTTCCACCTTGGTCCCTGGATGTTTTTTCCCAGATGTCAGTAGAAGAGGCACCAGCCTATGTGCGAGCCTACTTGTAATACCGGTTCAGATTTGATGCTCGAATATTCAGCTGAATTGAGTGTGGCCCTTCTTTTCAATCAATATTGGTTCAGTACATTGTTCATGGAAGAGGGTCCATTATTTCCTCATAATTATGCTTGCTGAGTGGTGTCCTACCCTGGGTCCTTGGTTAAGCACAGTTTGTTTCACGTTCTCCATAATTTCGAGGGCAAGTGGAATTTATCTTTCCCACATAGTTGGGGAGTGAGGATGAGTGTTCATAATTCCAGACCAGATGAGTTCTGTTTCCTCAGGTTGAGTATGGTATATAAGATCTCATTATTCCAAACCTGGGATGTTGCTTTGTGAAATTCTTCAGGTTGAGGAGAAGGTTTGTTCACTTCAGTGTTGCTTACCTTCTCATCATGATTCCGGTGGCTCGGAACGCATCACTCTATGTCTACAGGTTGGGATCCACTCATAAGTGTGTATAGTCCAGTTGCCCTAGCCACCAACATGGGACATAGGGGCCATGGCCCTATAATTCCAACCCTGAGCAGTGTAACCTCATCAGCTTTATGATGAATCATGTAAACTTCCACCTTCAGTACATGAATTAAGTACTAGGTGAAGAACATGCCTGTTCTGGATGTAGTGCAATTCCTCCACTATGGTGCCAATCTTCTATTGACACACCCATGATCTATGCAGATGCTTTCTCTATGGATAATGCCCTCACTGGCCCCCTCCACCTTATCAATGTGGGATTCTGGCTATAAGTGGGAGTGGAGGTAAGTATGTTATGGAAGTTAACATTTTCCTATATTGAAAATGTATTTCCAATAATACTTACCTCCTTTCACACTCTCCCACCCTTCCTCCCCACTAAGAGCTGGTGTTAGACTGCGGATTGAGTCAGTCTCAAAAAAAAGTGATAACATTATCTGAATGAGGTGCTTATATACAGTACCAGGATAGAGGGTGCACTGATGGAGGTGAAGATTGCCACGAGACAAATATTGCCAAGGGCATTTAAGTGGGGTATAAAAGACTGGAGCAAGCAAGAAAAAAATCTAACCAATGCTTAGAATGGCAAAGGAAGAAATCCTGGTAGTTGAGTAATAGGTGTAGTGTGAGGGGAGGTAAGTATCATTGGAAATACATTTTTGATTTAAGAAAATATTAAATTTTTTTTCTATGTGTAACTTTTGACTATGTGATTCCACTTGGCTGATATGTATTGATCGTTGTTATTTTGCCTAGAACAATCATATATTAATATGATGTAAATAGGAGGTGGTAAGATGTTACTTTTGGGGGAATTGTTGGTTATGGTGAAAATGGTTAAATTGAGACTAGACTTCTGGATTTTTAATTACTGGTGTTTTTAATATAAGAGCAAGACAGTTATCATAGTTTGAGTGAGTTTTAGCAACTCTTACAACAATATTTATATTGATTATGTTGAAGAAAACTTACTGATTTTACAATCTTTATTTTGAAGATCACAAAATAGATGAGTCAATATAGAAATTATTCTCAGTAATACAATTATTTATTGAATAGAAATTTTCAGAAATATTTGTGATGTTTATGACTAGTGATTAGTAAGGACAAGTTACTATTATTTGTTTTGTTAGTGTTAAATGTTATTTCCTGTATTTTCCTCTTTATTGGCTCTGATATGCCATATGATGGTTTTATATATTTGTGACCAATCAAATGCAAGTTATTGTTCACTCTTCATCTACCCCTGTAATAATGCCTAATACATTGTGTTTATTTTGTTGTTTATTACAGAATTTACTTTTATTTTACACAGATAAGAAGTAGAATTTGTGTTTATTTTGTTGTTTATTACAGAATTTACTTTTATTTTACACAGATAAGAAGTAGAATTAGAAAGCATGAAAGCACTCTGCACAATCTGCTCTGACTTGTTTGATGGTACAAACAGTGTAATTGCTTCTCCTTGTGGGCATACATTCCATGAAATTTGCTTCCTACAGTGGCTTGAAGAGTCTAGAACCTGTCCATCTTGCCGAACACATGTTACCCATAAAAAAATTGTTCGTTTGTTCTTTGACATTTCTGAAGATCTTGATAATCAATCCTCTGATGCCTTGAAAAATGAATTAGAATCTGTAAAAGTTTCTTTAAAGGCAAAAGAAATGGAACTATGGAAAGCAGACGAGAAGGTTAAATGTATCCAAGAATACGTTCGTAAAGCTGAAGCTAAAGCAGAGTGTGAAAAGGACAAGTATCTTGAGTCAGAAGCCCAGAAGACAGCATTAAAGTCTCAGTTGAAAGTGTTGACTAAACAGGTAGCTCAGATTGAGCGAATATCATTGGAAAATTTGAATTTGAAGAAGCAGCTGATACACATGAAAAAGTAAAGTGGATAAGTATATATATTTAGTTAGAGATATCTACTTTTTGTCATTTTATTTATCATTTGATCATATTATGTTGATGAGGAATGTTATGAATATTTTAATAATCTAAGCAAGAGACATAATATGAAGTGCACAGTACATGTCTGTTACTGTGTTAATGAAAGGGGCAGCAATGACTCCTTTTAACTCCATCCATACACATTTCATCAGTAATTGTGTGATAAGTTACATTACAAACAAGTAATAAAAGTTTTGTTGTAAAAAATATTGATCATGTTGGGATGGCAATGCCAAAAAATACAGAAACAAGGTAGGGATAAATACACAAAACCATACAAAAATCACTACTTGAATAGTAGTGTCGTAGTTGAGACCTCAGTGTCCGAGACTGAGACCTTAGCCTAAATAGCCAAATATTTCCAAGAAAAACTTGTATCTATAATTAAATGTTGAATTCCTGTCATTTGTATGAATTCAGGTTTGTGTAAAAGTATCTAAACTGAATAATGCTATAAAGTCTTACAATGGCTAATTCCCATAAGCTTGTAACATTGCCTCAGTGGCTACTGATGGAGGAATTTTTGTATGGGTTTGTGTATTTATCCCTAACTTGTTTCTGGACTTTTTAGCATTGCCATCCCCACATTATCCTTATTTTTTTCAAAATTTTTTTTTATTACTTGTTTCACCTCTTTTTTTTTTTTAAACAATACCAATGAATATTTAATAATGAATGGTAGTTGCTACGAAGGCAGCAGTTTTAGCTTGGCATAATGAGTTGTCGTGATGGACATCTTGTGTTGAAGTTAGTGAAACACTATACTGCCTCTGCACTCCCGAAGTTAAAATGCAACATTTTGGTGTGTAAATCACTGCAACAACTTCAAGCATTGGTGAGCTGGCCCTTCTGATGCTAGAATCAGAATAATCAGCAGAACATTTGGTTTTAATTTACTCACTGGTTCTCTACTTTAGTGATGTTTTTTTGGCTAAACTGAACATTTTAATAGCTTTTGAAAATATCAAAAACTGTAGTTAGGTGTTTATAAAAATCTCTTATATTGTTATAAGAGAGATTTGAGAGTATGATGAGCAATTCATAATATGAGTCAGCCATTTTTTTCCCAGCCCATCCCTACATACTAAGCACTACCATGCTTAGTGATATTGTATGTGTAAAATACATTTCAATGAGTTTAGTAATTATAATTTTAAGTTTGATTTACAATTTACTATATTATCAAATTAAGTTTAGTGATGCAAAAATTGATCTTCATTAACATGTATATCTAAAATATCAATTTGGTCTCAAATGCTGTTTCTATATGCATTTGTATAAAGATTGTGTAACCTCTATCATTTTTACTCTTTGTGAACTGAATATACAGGTATATATATATATACTCAGTTTGACTCATCATAACTCATAAAACATTGTTAAGGAAGAACATAAGATTTTGACTTTATTATCTGGTTAATAGCTGATAGGCTCTTTTACCCTGTAATTAGCTCTCACTCAGTTCTCACTCTCAAGCAAAATTATCACAATTGTATACCTAGCCTAAAGAATTTGAAACATCCAGTCTATAAACATTAATCAATTCATCATGTATTATGATATTTAGGTTCACTGACTGATGATGCCCAATAGATAAGTATTCAGATTTACAATAAGCAGCATATTCAAGAGATGTTTTGCTAATTATAATTAGAACATGGACAGTAAAGTAAAGAAGACTCAAACACTCATACAAACAAAAGAGAATAATCTTATTTTTTATACACAACACTGAAAATGCTGAGGTCTCACGATCACTGTCTGCCTTCTGAGTTTACTGATTAACTTTTTTGGCTACAATTACTGGATCAAACACAGTGGCCTCACCCACCTCTTTTCATTTTTAAAAACACTTCCTTACATACACCTACTTCTGTCTATGACATGTGAATAACCAATCAAAAGCTTGGAATGTCCCCCACATGGTTCTCTGAGCCTTTGCAAAGTATTTCCATGGGAAACCCTTTTTTTTTCATAGCAGATTTCTTTAGTGACCTTGAAATTTCATACTATTTTAGACCTAAATACAGCTTAGTTACTAGGCTTAATAAATTATAGTGGAATTCTATGGTATTGATATAGTAATTTATGACTTTTTGTTATTTTAAAATGTAGATATAAAACCTGTGGTGCAAAAATTGTCAAAATTTTGGTCAAAGTGACCCACCCTAAAATCCGCTGAATGTTCTTAGTTAACACAATAAAAGATTGGTTCACATATTTTTCAAATTGTGGGCAATGAAGAATATATTTTTATAATCTGTATGATTCTTTTCAATGTGTATGAGTCGAGTATGAGATTCAAATAAACTAATGCCACAAAACAAGAACAATCATGAATTGCAAACCTTGCTATGAGTCATTTTCAGAAAGTTTGAATGTATATAAATAATATCCTGATAAACATTTGTATGATAGTCCAGTTACCACAGCAGTAAAGACATGATTGTAATGTTCTCTTTTAAAGAAGATTTTCTCTTCTTTTGGGATATATGAGCCATAATATACATCATGAAATGATAATAGCATGTAGATGATCAAAACCCTGATATAAAATGACAATTTTTTAAGGTTCTGCACAGTTTAATTGCCTTTTCAGTCAGTTTGTTAGGCATGGTAACTGGAATTGGAACTTCTAAAGAATACACCTAGGTGTGTGTTTGCAATTGTTAGTGTTCTTGTGACTTCATGAATGCTAGATTACTTTCACAATAGAAGCTATTCTACTATTGCAATCTGAAAGGGAGTCCAAAATTTTGTTTTCATGTTAATTAGAATTTTAGTATGTAGCTGTTTAATGTTATGGAAATGTTCCATGTGGTAAGTTGCAAAGTAAACTCAAAGAGACAAGAGAGATTTTAATTTATTCTAAAACGGTGCTTTTATATGATCTATTATCTCTTTCATAGTACTTGTGCTTTCATAGTATGTGTTTGGCCTCCAATGTAGATGTTTTACACCAGTTTTTAAATATACTTGGACTTTCTACAGTTGACTCAAACAAGGGTTTGCAATCCATGGATGATCTTTTGTTGCAATATTTTATTTGAACGTTAAAATTGGATTCATACGGATCAAAAGAAAACATATGGATTATAAATATATATCTTGCTCATAATTCAAGGTAATGGATAAATCTGTCTTTTTGTGTGTTCACCATATATTTAATTGTGGGTCACTTTGACGAAAATTTTGATAATGTTTGCACCACTTTACAGTTCTACAGCAGACATACTCGGAAAGAGAAGAAATTTTCGTCTCAGATGAGCCCAAATGCAGCCATGTGCCTTTCAGGTCCATTAAACTGGACAAGTAGAGCCTTTTGAAGTATGTACCTGCTCAACTACATGAATTCTGGTTAGAATAAAAGCATTTAAACTGAATAGTGCTATATACAGTCTTACAGTGGCTAATAACCATAAGTTTGTAAGATTGACTCAGTACTTACTGGATACTTACGTAGGGAATTTTGTATGGTTTTGTGTATTCATTCCTACTTTGTGTTCTTACTTTTTAATATGCTCCTACCTCCCTCACACAAAGCTCTCTCAATTTTTTTTTTTTCTGCCCTCTAAGCATTGCTGAAATAATTTTCATGCTTAGCACACCAGTCTATATACCCCACCAATTTTGTGCCACTACTGGACATGTACATAGCATGTTGACTACTCTCCACCAATAGTATTGTGCCACCTATATTATTGGTCCTCTGCTATTCCCACTCAATCTTCACTTTCTCGATTGGCACAGCATTGTTTAGGCATGTTTTTTCACAGTTGGCTCATTTATGATTGTGCTTCTTTGCCATTTAAATTTTTTGTTTTCAACTGTTTTATTTTACTTTGTTTGCATTTAATTGTTTCAATATTTGTTTTCCATTTGTTTCTTGTTACCGAATTATAAGAGATCTTAGTATGAATTCACTATTTAATGTATTGACTAAAGAAATTCCTGTTGCAGTCAAAAATGCTACTGGTACGACCTCCCAGGAATCAATTTTGACTTTATATGCAGAGGAGGTAGAGGGCTTAATTTGCAACAAGCTAGATTTGTATGTTGGGCCTGCGATTTCTTCTTATTTTCAACTTGACAATGTTTCTGAGGAAGAATACAATCAAGGTGAAGACTATTTAACTCTCTTTTTCCTGCACCTTCTTAGTTTGGTCTGTCACACACTACACCTCTTCAGAAGTTTTTCCCTACCATTTTTTTACAGCTAGTTCATCAGGTGACTCATTATCTGGTTTTGCTTTATGTTTGAAATCTGGGTGATTTCACTAGTTTTCTTTTTCGTGCTCCAGTTGTCATGCCACTGCATTATTCACTTTGGTGGAGGTTTGTTGTTCTCCTCCTTTCTTCATATTGCTTCCACTTCTCCCAGTGGTTCTGTGGTAAGTTTATCGACTTGTACACTTAACACATGGTGGATATTCCCGTGGTCGGCATTGTTCAGATGCCATTTGTGTGGCTTTGTCCTTTTTTTCCACATGGGACATTTAAGTATTTTACGTCATTAGTGCTCAGACTTTGGGAAGTTAGATATTTGTTAGAAGTTGCCTAAGTTAATTTAGATGAATTGTAAGTTAGATATTGTTTATCACTCTGTTTTCTAGGTACTTTTGGTTGTTTTGGAGATTCATTAATAGTATGTACCTTCTAAACTTGGTAAGTTTCGATGGTTTGTCAGTTTGATATTAATAAGTACTTTAACTAGGTATGTTTAGATAGTTTGTAAGTTACATATCATTAGTCACATCTAATTCATTTTTCTATCTGATTATTGTCACTGTTGGCTTTACTAATGTATCCTTTGTTGTCTAAGGTAATTGTAACTTAGATATTGATTATTACTTTGCTTTCTTGGTAAATTTCATTGGTTTGCACATTTGCTATTATTACTCAGTTTATGGACTAGCTGAATTTAGATGTTTGTCAGTT